AAAGTTCTGTCTTAATAACCAGGAGCCAACCTTAGCTGGATGCTTTTAAACATAGTCTGTGTCTGGATGCTTTTGTTTAGTGTGCAATTTTGCCTGCTGTCTGCCTCTTCCTGTCTTAATTAGGGGGAGTAGGAGTCTGTTTAATGGGAGGAATAACTCCCTTTCTATTCAAGTAGGAGCAAACATATGCCTTTACTTCACCACGAATCTAATAACACAGACATACACCAGCCCCAAAACGTATTTTGCTACTTAAGCCACACTTAAAAAGCACAGATGTCATTGCAGTAGATAAAATGAAACACAAGGAACAATTGCAAAGCACACTTCGCAAGCTAAATATTTCACACTGCTTGGACACTTTCCGGTCAACAGATAATGTCCAGTTCAGGATTATCTTCAAGTTCATGAGTAATGCAGCTGGCTCATTCCATGTCAACTCAATCAGAGGTCTGACATTTCTCTGTATGTGAAGTGACATGTGACCAAGTATGGTGACCCATACTAGGAATTAGTGCTCTGCATTTAACCCATCCTTAGTGCACACACACAGCAGTGAACACACACACCGTGAACACACACCCGGAGCAGTGGGCAGTCATTTATCGGTGCCTTGCTCAAGGGCACCTCAGTCGTGGTATTGAAGGTGGGAGAGAGCGCTGTACATTCACTCCCCCCACCTACAATCCCTGCCGGTACGAGACTCGAACCCACAACCTTTGGGTTACGAGTCCGACTCTCTAACCATTAGGCCACGACTTCCCACGTATAGAAACGATACCATTTTTATGCAAAGTGACCCACATTTGGTTATCAACATATTGGTCAAATTCAACAATCTGGGAAATCCCCATATTTCTGGGACTGAATCATATGGCCTTATAAATGAAAACTCCATAAGAAAACTTTGTTAAGAACCAGAATCTAAAAGGAAACTGTGATATCTTTAATACTTCCTGAGCAAACCTTGGAAGAAAATTATTTTGCCACTCAGACAGGTATGTCCTATGCAAATGTTTTGATAGAGGGAAAGATACCTTTCTAATTAAATTTTTCTCTTTGAAAATAAAGAGGTATGAGCTATATGCAAAATGACCCACATTTAGTTTTTGACCACTGAACATGTGAACAGTTTAACAAATAACTCACAGATTCAAATTAAGAGTATCTCTGGAACTAAAACAAATAGGGCCATAAAATGAAGGTAACAAAAGAAAATTGTGTTAAGAACCAGTATGTAAAAGGATATTAAGATAACTTTTATACTTCTCAAGTGACAGGCATGCAAACAAAAGTACAAAAGTAAAAAAAGTACTTCCTAATGAACCAGCAGGAACAGAACATAATGTTCGTAAAACAAATGGACAACTGCTAGAGCAGTCAGACTAACAAGAGATATCCAAGAACAAAACAGAAACAAATAGAAGAGGGGAATGGCATGTTTTGTTCCTTGTTTCAGAGTTCTCAGCCTTCCCTCTTCCATTGAAAAAGACTGAAGAGGTACTTAAAACAGAGAGTAAATAAATACAGGCCAACACTTCCCGCCCACAAACTAAACTCTTTCACTGCACGAAGAAAATGGCACCCCTTTGAAATTCAATTAAAGCCTCTTCAGGCACATTGCCTTCCTGTGTGCTTCTCAGGCCTTGTCTGGCAGCCTCCGCGCTGTCAGGCTAATGCTTCTCTGATCTCCCGCTGAAATTTCTATTAATCAGGACTGGTGTTTTCCTGCTTCCACTTCCACATACTCCAGTGACAGGCTGATTTGTTCTTGTATTTATTTAACCTCCTTTTTACTTGAAACTTTCATTCTTTTTCTTCATATTTCTCCCACGCTAACCCCGAATCCTTGGATGTGCGCAGATAGCGGGTTTAAATTGGTGGATTATTTGCTCTGCTGGCATGTTGGGAAAAAGAAAGAGTCGTTTAAGATTCCTGTAGTGTTTTTGTACTCTCGTCTAAAAACATACTTTATATCTAATGGTTATATTTAATGATAAATATTAGATTTTAGATTAGATGTTATATAAATATACACACACATGCATATATATATATAT